TCTATCAAATACAACTTATTATAATTTTGGCCTACATTAAAAACCTTTGCTATCTTAAAGCGAATATAAGCCATAGACGAAGAAGTATTCGCCTCGTTTCGAACTACAAATATAGCTGAGAATGAGGGAATTACTCGTCAAAGGAAATATTCCAAAACATGGAAGAAATCTAAAAATGCCTGTGCATCTAAAGAAAATATATTTAGCTTTCACATTGGCTACACAATTAGCAGGAATCGGTTTAATACTCGACACTGATTTATAATCCTTTATTTATAAACAATTAGTTCAATTAATATGTGGGCTAGGTAGGAATCGGTATTAGGAATAGTTGGAATTGTTAAATATGATTCGAAATAAGATTACATTTCATTTCAATTACATTTCTTCATAGTATACCAATTAAAAATTGTCGCGGCATTTCTGGAATGGTAACAATTCTATAGATATCATTAGTTATCCGCCCAAATGAAATCATTTGTTTCACAATCCGAATGAGGTCAGAATGTCCATAGTTCTCCAATTGTTGCTGCTTATAATGAAGTCAATTCTGTCGCTGTCATTCATCTGCGTGTCAACTCGTATAGCAGTTGTTGTCTTAACGCGTTACCGTAAACCTATTCTGAGAAGCTGAACTTGTTTCTTGGTCTGAATTGGTCTCACCTGCTCGGACGACACACATACGAGTACCTCCTTCATAACTATGTTAGCAAGCCAAACATTTGAAAGTAACAACAACTGCTGGCGTGTGTCATAAATACATAAAACCAAAGCAAACGGCGACCAATCAATCAAATGTGCGCGCTGCCCGACTCTAGAGAGACAAACCTACTACGATACAGCACCGAAACGGAGAGGCCGTAAAGCCCGTTCCGTTCCCCAGATAACATCGCCAACAAGTGCCTGGCCGTCGTCTAAGACTCTATCTCGGCATTTATATCGCTGGCAAACAAGCCAGCTATAAATCATCACGCTGGCCAGATCTCACGCTCCGCAATAAATTTAAACCGCTCCACGCACATTAGCGACAGTTGCCGCCACCGCCGCCGCCGCTGCTGCTGCTGCCCTCGAGGCTCCCAATGCAAATGCAAGTTATCAGCGAGCCACCCAAAGCGGTAAGTGGCAAGCAAATCTGCGCCACTAAGCTGCTGTCTGCCCCCCTAATGCCGCATTATGACAAGCGGAGCCGCCAGCTAACAGCCCCAATCCCTGTCCCCAACTGCGTTACGCACATAAACAGAGAATAAACTCTATATCGAATGTGAGATAAAATAATGCACACCCTGTTTAATATTTAATCATTTTTTTATATTTTGTTAACATCTTGATTCCCTGCCTATGAGAGCTGCAAAAGGTTTCGCTTCAGAAGCGATTTATTCGTTGTTTGTGGCTAAAAATCGATTTATTTTTTGAACAATCGATTGAGCGATCATTGACATAAAATATATCAATTTACAAAAATATTTTAAAGTTGTAATCAGGACTGCTATAAAGCATTCTTCATTATTTATATTAGGGCCAAGGGATGTTCTTCGTGCACATAGAAAGAGGACAGTCAGTATAAAAGCTTAAAAAAACCCCTAAGGCGGTCTTTCAAAATAATATTGGATGCATAAAGAATATAAGAAAGCGACGACAAACAATTCACTTTAAAATTGGACGTATATATATTTCCATTGAAATATAGTAAGATCAGAGTCATTTCTTATTTAACATCTGAGTTGCATATTTGAATCGTATTTTGTTTTCTAAAATATGTTTACCTCCTTATCGGGGCTTTTGTGGCTCTAAAACAAATATATTATCTGAAAAGGCAATTCGACACTGTTCGAAAAACCTAGTGTATAGATTATAGTTTGCTCTTAATCATATGATTTTTTTTTGGAAGAAATGTATCGAAAACTTCGGCTCAGACTATCAACAAGAAAAATATATAATATACTAAAAACTAAGCTAACGACAAGATTTGAAAAAGGTAAGCTATTGTTAGATAAGTGTGTACGCTTTAGAAATGACCGTTTGTGTAGGAGAAATAATATTTCTGATATATCGCAGAAGATGGGTATTCTTTAGTCACATATGCACTTCTCTAAGGTGTTGACCTGTGTTTTCCAAAAACGATGCGTGAGAATAATTGTGTTTGCAATTAATTTTGGTTTAGTTTGCCGTTTAGTTGTTCTACTGTAGCTTAACTGTATCGGAATTTGTATCTGTATCTGCAGCTTGTTGCTGGGTAAGTGGTAGCTCTCGCTGCTCGTTGTGTGAATATCTTGATTAATGTGTCGCGCAATTATTGGGAATTCATCAGCGCTGTGCGGTGGAAGCGCGTCGGTGATGGCTAAGCATCGATAACATCGGCGGGACTCGAGACCCGTGGGCGCGCTGACAGCCAAATGAGACAATTTCAGCTCTGACACAAATAGATCAAAACGAAGGCGATTTCAAATTTACGAGCTCAAATTATTTATTGTATTTGCTGAGAAATTAAAAAAGACAAGCATAAATTGGATTGGTCGGGTGTTGGACAAAACACGATACGAGTAGTGCCGGCGGCGGTCTGATAAGCACACAACACATTCATACCACATATGGGTCTTGTCTTGTACTTCTGCAATGGGTTTACTCTTTTATGATGACGTAAGTGAATCATTTATGAGGTATTTTTCTGTATAAACTGTCAGTGTAGTAGTGGAGTCAAGACACTCTGTCCAAGGGGTTGTGAATATTATTGTCAACACCATAAGGTAGACAAGGTGGGGGTCTAAATATATAGCAAGAAAAGTTATGGTTTAAATATTCCACAAAAGCCAAGCATAGTAACGTTATCATGTTTGCAAAAGTATTAACGAATTAAAACCAACAAACGGAATCCAATCCCCCATCAGAATTTCTCTCGATTTATATTTTTAAGAGCTTTAATTTGAATTAGATTTCTTCTCAATTTAAAGCATTTTTTTTATTATTATCTTTCAATTCATATTGCCTGGCAGTCTTCCAAAACACAGGAGTTCTATTACTTTAGAAATAAATAGCTCTATTTTCTGGCTAGTCCCAGATCAATCATTTATTCAATCAACTTTTTTTTAATCATCATAAATCATATTGAAATGACAAGGAAAAACAATTGTTAGTTTGTTGCTGGGAATTTTATACATTATTATCTTTTAAGTATATCGAACTAGACAGTTACTTGTATATAATTTTGTACATATTGCTATAATTTGTATGGATCCCAACACCGTACCATCAGCCAAATTTTGCTATGTGTAGGTTCTCTGCAATCTCTCATGAGATTCGGGTTGGATCTCAAAATATTTCAGAACCCACTTGAAAACAAACACTAGCAGATTGAAAAGAATTTAAAAACAGGAAATTAAACAGAAAAGCCAAGCTAAAATGATTGCCTTAGAGCTAAGCAATACATTTTTCGAATCATTTTATAGTATTAGTTTTGTAACCCCACTTCTGGCTATTTTCGCCACCATTATAACGCGCAAGTTCTTCCTTCCTTCTAATTGGAATCTTTGTAGGAGTGTGTAATCAACAGTTAGAGTCAATTGTTTTGTTTCAGTTTGTTGTCAAAGGCGTTAGACGATTTATGGGGACCGCAATGGAAATGAAAACTCTTATACTCGGCGCTGTTATGAAGAGCGAGTTGTTGCCAAAGAGAAAATAGTTGTTGACTGTTGCGTCTCGTTAAACGCGCCGGCCAGGTTGCTTTGTATTGTGGCTTTGACAGGTGAACTGGCCGAGGCAGCTGCCTCTTTTCGTATTTAATATTATTATTTTTATTTTTGAAGTTACTGAGTATAGCAATTAAGAGCTGCAAATGTAATTTGCTTTTTTTTTGTACCTTAAATTGAAAAGTTAAAAAAATTACCGTTTTTTTTTTTTAAATTCAAAAATAAATGTAGTTATTTTTCTTGTTTATAATAAACAACTATTATAATTATTATATTTAAATGGCATTTTCAAATGCCGCTGGTTGCTGTTCTTAATACCATCCACAAACAAACAGCAACAACCAACTGAACGAAAAACAGCCTGCTCTTTAGTTTAGTTGCTCCTCTCATTTACCTAAAACAGCTGCAATTCTCTTCGCATGCTCGCTGTTCTCTCTCTCTCTCTCGCTGTCTCTTAACATCCACAAATGTGTTGTTGTTGCTGCTGTTGCGCCCCCATACGACGGACGGCCTGGCCAGTAAAGGCCGCGGCGCCGCTCCCGTCCAATTTTACAACGCTCGTTGAATTCAATCGCTCGTCAACCTTCGTTCGGCGCGTTACAAGCGAAGCAAGCAAGGCAGCAAGTCCTCATTGCAGCAACGGTACACGCCGCGCCACACAAACCGCCGCCGCCGCACGGTCGCTGGTGGTTGCAGCAGCCACTGCCAGTTTAGTCTCAATCGAACGCTCGTGGCAATAACAACGAAAGCGCAGCCTCAATCTGCGTCGTCGGTTCGCGTCTCATAGTCGAGTCGTGTCGTATCGCATCGCATTGCGTCGCGTCGTCAAAATATCTCGAAAATCAAACAAATATTCTTCCACTTACTGGTCGTTGAAAAAAGTTTCTGAAAAGCCAAAAATGTGGCAACTGTGCATTTATTCGTATTATCGACGACGCTGCTGCTGCCAACAGCAGTTGTCGCTGCCGCTTCAAAAGCAAACCAAGATCTGCTAATCAAAATAATACGATTATGTAAAAAGCTGAAGTGTTGTCAAACATATCACGAAACTGCAATAACAACAACAGCAACAGCTAGAAGAAAAGTGGGGAAAATTGTGTGAAAGTGCGTTTTAAATCGCGAGAAGAAAAGTGCTTAAAAGGCTTCAACTGCATTTATTTTTCATTTGAATTGTGTTGAACGCTTCTAGTTTCTAGCTTGTGTGTACAAATGTAACTAAAATACGCTTAAAGGCATTTGTGTAACGCTTTCCAATATACATACACATATATATATAGCTGCTTATATACACAAATATATACACACATATATATAATTATGCTATAAACGCCTGCAATTTAAGGATATATTTATATTTATGCAGAATTTGAATTTAATGCGCCGGCAATTTTCAAATTAAACTCTAAGGTGAGTAGAAAAACAGAAATTATTACAGACTTTGTTAATTTTTCGAGCTCGAGTGTTCATCAGAAGTGTGAATTGAATGAGTTTTAATATTTATGAGTGATTTGGCATTGGGATTGACATAAAAACAACGATAACCCCAGCAATTAAAATCCAATCAAATGAAAATTAATTAAACGACTCTTCAACAATTTATGGCGCTATAAACATTTACAAATATAAACATGACATTAAAGTCTACAAGATTATGAAAAAGCAGCGAAAAAATCTCAAGCAATAAGCTTATCATTTACTACAGGAATTCAATTTAGTTATCAGCTCTAAAAAGTGAAACCTGAATATAAATAAATAAAACGTATTAAATGATTTGCGCAAGCAGGTTGTTCAAATATTTTGAAAAAAGAAAATATGCAAAAACTGAAATAAGCGAACAAAACTAGCAAGTTCGTTAAACGTATTATTCATACAAGTAACTAGACTTGTTCATTGATTCTAGGCAGGTCTACACTGAATTAAAAAATTACAAGCAGTTAAATTTATTCAACAATTTGAAGCAAATCTAAAACCAATTTTTGAAAACATTTACATTTTGTCAATATTTGATTTGATTAGATAGCGTGCTTATCTGAACTGACCTTGATGTCTGCATTCCTAATAGCGTCCCATAATATTCTAAATTAAAGTTCCCCATTCAAAAACTTCCCTTTTTCTCCTTAACTCCTTTTCTTGACCACTACAACTCTAATTCTAAAACAGCTCTAATATTTTGTTAATTCTAAGCGCAAATTAAATAAAAATCCTCAGCCTGTGCCTTTAGCTATTAAAAAACTTGTTAAGCCTAATCCTTACTATTATTGCCATTTTTCTTCTAATTCTTTACGTTTTTTATCAAATTACAATTAGCAATAATAAAAGTATTAAAATCTTCACAGATGGGATATAAACCCAGCTCGATAAACTTCTCTTTTTCATATGTTCATAAAATATCTGATACTTTTCGAGAGAAAATTAAATAATTCCTTTAAACATAATTGTATTTTATAAATGGATGTGCATTCAAAAAGAGGTCTAATCTAGATAGAGATATATAAGAGTTATTGGAAAAATTAAGCTTCAACTCCAATGAACTTGTAAAGTGATTAAAAAAAGGAGTATCCTTTGATGGCTAATTATCAGGATAGTTTTCATTCAAGCTATGATCAGACAGGCAAATAAAATGCGCACAAAACTGTCATATTTCACAAGTGTATATAAATATCACTTGAATATTATATTTCTTCAATTAAAGACAATACAATTCTATTCAAACGAGTAGTTCTTTGGGAATCACTTTTCAAGGCCAGCAAACATTATTCACTCCACAATTACTAACAATTGTTTTGACCCACACTGGCTGTCCGTTTGAGCCAACTAGCAGCAGTCTAGGGTGTACGGAAATTTGAGAACTTTTGCAGCGCTTAAAGCTGTTTTGTGTGGCGTTCAAGCTGAAAAAATAGTGCAAGTGTGTTCAATGCCTATCGATGACAAATATTGGCTGTCGTGTTCCCATTTAAACAAACATAAACAAATAAACAATTGCATAAACAAGACGGACATAAGAAAATAAACAAAATTGGCTAAAAAAAAAAAACAATAAATTCTCGCAAAATTAAAACTATCCGCGCACCGTTTTAATGACCGATTTAGCCAGTTTTTAGCAATTAACAAAATTTATGCACACATCAGGTTCTAGCATTAATCAATTAAATGAAAATTATGGCAAACGATTTGTGCAGCTGCGTGTCTGAAATAGATATTTATTTGATTTAAATTGAATTTCATTATCAATTGCCGGCGAAGGCAACAGTTTTCAATAGAAATACTCGTACAAGCGATATCATCGACAGGCTTAACTAAAAATTAACCAAAGCTCTGTAATATAATTAGTTGGAAATTTCTAATAGCTTAAATGCCATTTAAAATGAAATGATGTCTCTGTGTGTGCACAAATATTAATGTGATTTAAAGGATATCTTTGTGTGATAAATAATTGAAAATAGAAAAAAGCAGATTTTCCCACATTTCATGAATTTTCAAAATGCTCTTTAAACATAAATATGGAAAATGTACTGGAAGACTAATGAAAAATTGGAAGTGGAAAAAGATATTTGGCCCTTTGTTTTGATTTTCCAATTTTAGTTTTTGTTGGATTTAGACAAAGAAGGTGTTAAGGTGTACAAAAATAAAACAATTTTCAAAGAAACGTCAAATACTTGGTGGATTAGGATATTGATTAGTGTCTTTAATATTAGAAGCTCGATCATTTCTGAATATTGTCTTTGAAACACCAGAGGAAGTCAAAATGCAGCAGTTTTCGCTTCAACTTGATTTATTTGCCTCCTTGGCTTTCAAAATACAAACTAGAAAACATTAGAAACCCCTCACTGCTCGCTTTATCATTCAACTAACTCTCAGTACCTAGCCTATACTTTCATCTACAGATAAATGCATATCATACGTGTATATAACATATTTCCGTCACATTTCTTTTAATGACAAACTCATTTTACCTTTCTACTAGTAAGTTATGTAATTGAACTCTTTAGCAACAATTTTCTTCTCTTCATTGAACTGGAATTTATTTTCATTTCATTAATATAGGATCGATAGGCATTCCATTATTTGTAGAATCTGTAGTTGTTACAGCTTTTTTCCTTACCAGTTATTAATTTTTTAACCCAGTAGGAGGAGTTACAATTTTAAATCAGCATTTATTTATGAATAAATTCTTTTATATTGAAAACAAAACTATAGATTAAATGTAGATTAAACGAAAGCTTTTGATTATCATTATAAATTTATTCTTAACAATTACTTATTCGGTTTTGAGTTGAAAAATATAATATTGTAAGAAGATTTTTCATCAAAGCTTTGGAACCATTGCCAATTAATTAGTCAGTACAAACTATTTTATATACGAGTGTACGTACTTTTTATAGATTCTTTGCAGCCAAGTGGTATGGAAATAAAAACTTTAAGCGACACACAGAATAATTCGAAATAGACTCCGCAGTCTCTCACATTTATGCAGCACTTATTTGTCCAATTCCAAAGAATATCAATAAAGGCGACTATAAAAGTTGAAGTTTAGCAAAACAACATTGCAATTATGATACTTTTACGATAAATTATAGCTGTAGAATTGTATTTGCGCAAATACCCATTAATGAGAGCTCATCTCTGTTTTATACACATTTTCTCGAAGCATTAGAAAATCTTTATAGCCACAAACAAACAGCACACACACACAGTTACATGGAAATGTCAAAAGCGCACAGTAAACATTAATTAAATGGGAATTAAGAAAACCAAATGGTCAGCCATAACTCGCTGCACTTTATAGATTCACAGAGTCAGGTAAACATTAAGAAGGAATCTCTGCCCACTCGAGAGAAATTCCCATTTTTTTTTTATTCAGTTTTTTTTTAATCATCTTTCATTCAAATACTTATATTTTAAGTGTGCTTATGTGTGTGTGTGTTTGGTTGCCGGCGACCAATTTACACGATTTTTATCTGCTAAGTGCAACGTTTAAAACTCGTATCTGGCAGCGCGTATCTTTTGCAACTTCACACATCGCCACCCATTTTGTGGGAATCGGAGAAGGATAGTGCAAGGGATGGGGGGGAGGGGCGAGCGGCGGGCTAGTGAGACGTTTCTTCGTGGTCGCTGCTCGTTAGCTGCATTTCATAATTGGTTGTTGCTGCCGCCGCTGCTGCTGTGGAGGTAATTAAGTGGAAATATGTTTGGCAATTAAAATTCTCAAGCTCGCTGCTCCCCCAAGAAAAATGTTTTTCCTCAGGCACACTATTTTCATTGGTGCTGTTGTTGTTCTTGCATACAACTTTGATGATTTTGCTCGAAACATGCGCTTTATTTGTTGTTGTTGTGCTTGCTTATTGAATTCCTTTAGCTGCGCGTGCGTATCTATCTTAAAGATACAGCAATCTTTCTGTGCCGCGCATGCATAATTAATTTCGTGTAAAAATCATAATTACAGCAATTAAAATCTGTGTAAACAAGTTGGCAGCAGTTGGCAGCGGTTTCTAATGCCTGTAGGGGGTGATGCTGGTGGTGGTAGCGGCGGTGGTTGGTTGCCACAGGCGCCACCATTATAATAATCATAATTTGTGGAAACAACTTTTTGCGGCTCATATTTTATTCGCATAATCATGTAGTTTGTTTGGAACTCCACGTCAGTCAAGTAGCGCAAATTATAAAGAATTTTATACAATTCAGAAATGAAAGCAAATACAAATTCCCGACGAATTTCGAAAGCATCTCAATTTGCTTATCGCTTCATTTCTCTGACATACATATTCTCAAAGATTACCTTCGAAAGTCTGACATATTTATTATTAACAAATAAAACTGCTTAGGCAACTTGTAGGCTTATTTCAGACCTGAAATTTAATTGAAGGCAATGCTTCTTAGGGTATAGAAGTCATCTCTGGAATTAAATTGTATGTATTGCTTTTGATTGAAGCAACATTTACTTACTAAGCTCTACAAACTGTTGTGCAAACAAAACAAAGTTTGTCTGTAGCTGTAACTACTTACATTTAAGTCGCAAAGAGAGTTTGTTAAACAGTTCTAGTTATTCGTAAATGCTTGTGAACTCAGAAATTTGCATTTGAAAGTTTTTCTAAAACATTAGTTGTTCTTTAGAAAGCCCAGTAAAAAAGTTTGTTTTTTTTTTAGAATAATAAGCAATGAGAGATGCTGTTAAATCGATCACGAATGTTATAATTGAAAATTATAATGAAAATTGAAGAAATATAATAAGAAACTTCATCAATTACAAATTGCACAAATATTATTTGATTATCATTTCATAATTATTTTCCTTTTCTTCCTATAATTATAGTTTGAACACCATTAAACAACACAAAAGTAAGGAGACTTCCAAAAATATCTTTCTTATTTAGATTATTCAAATAATTCTTCAATATTAGGTTTAATAT